GGGATGAAGTAAAAGGTAAGGAGAAAAAGAATGGCACGAACTATGATCAAACGAAGAGTGGAGAGCGACCAGGTGAAAGAAAGAACGAAAGTATCACTGGTAACAATGAAAGACAAGCAAGGACGGGTTCAACGATACTGCGAGATGAAGAGACGGACCGTGCTGATGAATTGGCGATGGAGATGAACAAAGAAGAAGGAAAAGAAGGTAGGCATACGCCTGAAGATCTACCAAAACGTGAAGAAACTGAGGAGAGACACATTGATGATGAGAAACGGAGGATCGATGAAGGATCTAGAGGAAAAGTAGATAAGAGCACGGGTAGAGAAGAATATAGCGATAGATCGAGGGAAAGAACAAGTGTGCGAGGGGATGATAAATTGAAACAAGGAATAACCACGAATGCGACTGAGCAGGAAGACAAGGAAATGAAACAGGAAATAAATGAGGCATTGGGCTATAATGCAAACAAAGGGTTGAATAATGAAATGAGCCAAAGAGCAAGCGAGGAGTTGAATGGTAACGTACATGGAGAAGTGAATGATGAAGTAAACAAAAGAACGCGCGATAAAATGAATGAACCGGATGAAGCACCCTACGACCCACGTGTTGAATTATCGAATAATGCGAGTAGGACGCCTAAGAACAGAACCGAGTTATTGAATGAAAGAAATGACCGGATAGAGCAACCAATGGATGTAAGAAGATCAAGTAGTAGTTCAGAGCAGTCTTTAAGAACCGTAAACAAAGCTTTTGGCACAGTGAACGAGCCAAGGGGTTTGTCAAATGGCCACAACAGCGCACTCAAAACCAAAGAGTTAAGAGAAAACAGTTGGGAGCATAAAAGCGATGAGGAGCACACAAACGAGATGAACGCGAGTGAGATGGGCAGAGAGGGCATTGTGCTGAAGAATGGCACGGCGTGTGTTGGAAACAGTAATGTGGAGGTATCACGCAGTGTGCATAGCAGTGGCGAGACAAGCGAAATAAGATTGGCTGGTGGAGAGGGCTCCGACATGGCACAGCTCACACGGCAGGTAAAACATGACGAGAGTGACAAGAGCATTACGCTCGACGAGCTGTCAAAAGCGGGCATTGCACTGCCCGAGGACGTGGGCCCGAACGATATGCTCAATCTCATCAAATTCCTGTTTACCAACACAACACTTCAGGAGAAAAAGAACAACGTTCATGCGCTGCATATTTTGTTAATGCTGAGCATAAACAGCGATATTTTTGAGGAGGGTCGGCTGAACGAGGTTGTGCGCATTCTGCTCGATCTGATAAATTTTCAGGAGGCACTGATGTATGCGGTGAACTATAGCAATCTGCTCGTGAGCACGCCTGCACCTGGTGAGGACAGCACGGGTGAGATGGAGCACAACAGTTCAGGCCAATCGATAGATACGTGTGCATCGAACGTTGAAGCGGTAGATGCAATGATTGAGAGCAAACTCGACAATTTCTACTTCAGCAACGGCAAGCCCGTAAAGTACATAGCGCTCGAGCGCATTAACCTTACCAATGACACCCTGCTCATCGTTGTGAAGCACTTCAACCCGTTCCACCACGAGTTCTGGATGAGCTATGTTGAGCAGAAGGATCTGAGAGAGGTGTTCTTTATACTTAGACACGTTCTTAAAAGCAGCGCGCTTGAAAGATGCAAGCGTACCCTTTTTGTACGTCTTTTCTACGGCTACGATGAGAAGCTCTTCATGGCGTACGAGCTCATTTACGAGAGAGGATTTGAGGAATTGCTGATTGAGGAGGTGCAGATGAATAAGAGCAGGAGGATTGATTATGACCGGGATGTGGTTGAGGAAGAAGTTGTTGGGGAGGGGAACGAAACGGAAGGAAATATTGGGAAAGGTATGGAGAGAAACTTTAGAAGTGGGATTGGGGGAAGTGTTGGTGGAGACATTGAAAATGAGGTGCAGGGAGAGAAGAGGAGAAATATTGGTGACCGTACCGGTAGAGACATTGAAAATGAAAAACGAACCGGTGATGAAAAACGGTACGGCGAAGATAAAACAAACCAATCGAGCGGTATCAGCCGCAAAGAAAATGACAAGAGTACCGTGATTGTGGACCAAAGGAACAAGCACGGCAATAAATGCGAGCAGATCTGCCTCAAAATACTTAAATACTCCTTCAACGTGCTTAACACCTTTACGTTCTACAAAACACTCAACATTATCAGCAACCGCCCGATCATTCCGTTCTTCAGTTCGCTGAGCTCATCAGCACTGTTCAACAAAATAATCGATGACCGCAACATCGTACTGATGCACAAAATGCTGCAGTACAACCACAAATTCGTAAAGCATCTGAGACGGGGCGTAAATCTGTTCGATGTGATATTCAATGCGCGTGCCGTACGTACGTACGCCCAGCTGCCCAAGACCAGTGAGGAGTACGTGCTCGTGATCAGCATTGTTAAGTACCTGCTCAGGTTAAATTTGGTGCCATCGATCAATTACAGCGCAATTTACGCACGAGCACCGCTCTCTTTCTTCTATGACACGTTGGAGTTGGTTGAGCATGTCTTGGCGGACAAGAACGCGTATCCGTTCTTCTTGGAGAGCGTGCCAAGAAACAACATCGTGTTCAAGATCAAGAACAGGGAATTTCTGAAGGATTTTTATTTGACCGTGGTTAATGAGTACTATGGGGTGTGTGTTGATTGCTTGCGGGTGGATGGAGCTGTTGGAGATGCGAGTAGGACATGGTGTGACGGTACGGCTGGTGTTAAGGACGGGAACGGCAGAGAGAACAATAAAGGAGATGAGAATGGCAGAGATGATGGCAATACGGTTGGTATCAAGAATAGGAACGAAACAGGCAGTAACAGGGTGACACGCACGGTGGAACAGATTGATTTGGTGTTCCTGCTGGATGTCATAAAACGGGTGAACAAGCGCAAACATGAGTTTGATATGGGGACAATCACGGAAAGGGTGCTTTTCATTCTATCGGTGGTATACCGGAGACACGGTGCCTACAGCACCAACAAAGAAATAATTGTGGACACGATCTACGATCTAAGGGATGAGGAAGAGCTGCCTGAGAAGGACAGCTTTACGTTCCAAACGGTGATGAACAGCATATTAGACATAATAATAGGAGAGAGCACGTTCATCAACGCGTACATAAAGTACTTCAGCACGCGCCTGCCGCTCAACGAGAAGCTGAACAGGCGCATCTTCCTGTTGGTGCTGCAGAGCAACAAATACGCGTACTTAAACAGGGTGTTCGCACCGAACGGTCCTGTGCTGAAGAACGCGGTTGACCTGTCCAAGCTGATAGACATCGGTACCATCACAGAAACAGAAAAACTAGCGATAAACAACGTGTTTCTGGAGCGGCTGAAAATAAGCGGGACATCGTACTTCAACCTGTTCTTCAACGATTACATCGCCAACCAGAAGAAAATCGAAAATGTGTCCCATCTTTACTTCCTGATGAGCAACATGAACAAAAAGGCGAGCACTCACCGACTTATTGAGATGTGCCTGCAGTACCTGTGCAAGGCGGTGCAGAGCAAGAAAAAGATTGGAAGCAATCTGATGAGGGTGTGCTTGAGGGGCTGTGGAGTGCCTTTGAGCGATAGGAGCAGGGGCTACGTGTGCTCGATCGCGTATTTCCTTATCAAACGAGAGCAGGAGGTTAATTTGGAGGTGGAGGGGTACAACGAGCGGTATGAGCACGTCATGCTTGTGCACCAGGGTGGCGATAGGGGCAGAAAAGAAGCTATGAGCAAAAATGAGAGTCGCGAGAATGACAACTCAAGGGGTGCATCCAGCATACGAAACGATTGCACATCGTGCAACAGCGGCCAGAGCATCGGTCTAGACACGCTCATCTACCACAACATAGGCATCAAGGAGTACTTCGAGTACTTTCTCGAATCTGCAACGTTCTTTAAGGGCACAAAGTGCTCGCTCATCAAAAAGAGCATTTTATTGCAGCAAATCGATGCTGACCGCATACAAGAGCTGTTCTCACGCCTTAACTCCAATTTCTTCACCGGCAAGGAAGCAGATTCGCTGAACAAGGCATCCGTTCTCAAACGAATATCGTTTTTCATTCTTTCGCTCGATTTTGAGGCATTTTCAGCACACCTCCCAGCCATAATTCCGATAATCAACGAGCTCATCGAGTATCCCAAGCCGGTAAAACGCGAAATATACAACCTGATAAGCGTGATATTCATCAAATTCCACCACAACAATCTGAGCGCGCTCTTCCCGATCTACTTTTCCGAGATAGAGAACGACAGCTTGCTAGAAAGCATACGCAGCCTGGAAATGCTCATGCTCATAGGTTCTAAGGAGACCGTTGAGTTTAGGTGGTACATTTCGTGCACCAAGGATGATAACACGTTGTTCAAGAGGATGCTAAATGAGTTGTACAGGGGAACGGAGGTGCGGCCGTATCTTGATCGGCTGCCTGCTACGAGGATGCCGTTGTTGATGAACGATAAGAAAGCATTTCTGAGCCGTGCTGAGAGTTATTATGAGATGCTTGATGAGAGTGTGTGGAGTATTGATGAGGGACTGCTGAGCAGTCGGATGATTGAATGGTATGTTGGGGGTGTATAGAGCTGGGAATATGACATGGCATAGAACAAGGCGTAGATATTGAAATGGTATGGAACAGGGCGTAGGTATTGAAATGGTATGGAACAGGGTGTAAAATGTGGTTCAAGGGTGTGGAGTGGACATGGCATAGAATAGGATGTAGGTATTGACATGGCATAGAATAGGGCGTGGGGTGGACATGCAGTTGTGTAAATACGACGTGCTCGCAGAGCCATACAAACTCGTTCTAGCAATAGAGCGTTATAAATGCGGTGTATCATTTTTAATAATTCGGTTGTGCTGCTATGGAGCACTCGTTAAAACTATGACCGGTATAAAACCGTGTGATGATGATGCACCATCTACAACGATAAAATATCGTAAACGGAGCGTTACATCGTACGCTCACTGCTCGTGAAACAAAATTAAAATATTTTGGTTTTGAATTGCTGTTGTTGGTGGCTGTTGCCTTTTCATGTCGGCCCAGCGATGGCACCGCGTGTACGAGGGCTACAACAGCACGCTGTTCGCACCTCAACCTCGTTTTACGCACATGTAATGCAAAATTAAGAACGTATAAAATGCTTTGTACGCACCGATGCAGCGTATGCTACACCATCTGGTGTTTGATTGGTTATTTTTGTTCTTAGCATGGTTAGACTGAACCACGGTTTGCATTCTGCCAGGGATAGGCATCAATAACAGAATGTACCATTGACAGGAACGAACAATAAAAGCGTAAATTGAAGAAAGCGTAAAATACGTTATTTGAACTTGCCTTTTATTTCTAGCGCTCAAAACACTCAGTTAAGAATCTGGTGCATTCCCTGCGGTTGATGAGTCAGGATTTGGAATTGATATCTGTGCCAAATCATTGCTGTGATCGATCACTGATTGTACTTCACTGGCTGGTTGTGTGCCCGAACCTGCCTTGGGCCCAAAGCTTTTTGAATTATGCCTTGCAAAGCCTCTTTTCTGGCATGAATCATCAGATTTAGCAACTTTGCCAGTACATTTCTCGAAAAAATCATCTACGCTCTTGTATACCTTATCCAATTCATTTCTCAGCTTCATGATTCGTTTCTCTGTCTTCCCATCCATCGATTGATTGCTCACTCTGCACATTTTCTTGAGTACACCATGAACAGCATTCTCCGAATTCAATGGTGAGCCTTTCGCAAGCGATTTCCATTTTTCGTTTGCTTCCTCTGTTTTGTTCCTAAATTAAAAAGAAGTGGAACAAAGTAATTGATGATAATCAAATCACCCTCAAGTGCACTTGTTGCTACCTTCAACGGTACAAAGTGAGTCTTTAGCAATGGGTACTGTTGTTGTGCTCTAGTCTCTGATGCGTGATTTTGTAGGTCGTATTCCTCCAACTTTTCATTTACCAATTTAGATCTATGCTCCGTATACTGTGCCAAAGCACATTTTATCTGCTCTTTTATTGTTATATCGCACTTCAAACGATTCCACAATGAGTCAACAAATGCGATAATTTCACCAGTTCCTCGACAAAATTTTCCTATATAATATTCCAGTTTTTTCACAACATTCTCATCGTAGATATCTTGCTTGAGTGGTTGTTTTTCTTCGAAATAAATACTTTCAAGGACTTCAAAGCCATTTATCAAGTCTTTAAACTCTTGCAACTTAACTTTATCATAATCAGATGGTATTGATTCAATTACATTGCTTTCCTCTGCCTGTTCACCACAAAGAACCACATACACAAAACTGATCATCGTAAAACATCGTAAAACATCGTAAAAATATCATGGACATAGATCCCCTCCTTATCTCTTTTCTTCTTTATTTTTATTTTCTATTTTTTCTTTTTTTGTATTTTAGTCCCAATAAGACGTATTATTCCGCTAAAAGCATTTTTTAATCATCTTAACATACCGGTATAGTAAAAACGTTCGTTGTGTTGCATCAGCTTTTGATCGGTCTTTATTTATGAAATGACAGCAATAGGCATGATGCATAGCATGGGCCGAAATCTATCCATAACCATTATTTTCAGTGCAATGAATCAAATATTACGAAGACAACACAGAATTGCTTAGTTTTGAGCACAAACATCAATAAATAATGAAAACTAGAATTGCTCTTTTCGGTACTTGCACGGATAAGTAAAGGGGTATTACCGGCAGATAGAAAAGGAAAAAAGTGCTTTGGAATAGCGTTAATCACATTATAATATTTTACAATTGTTACAATAATATCACTCGTAGTTGTTTTTTGTTCTGCTGTAAGAACCGAATTGGTACCCTGCCATTTTTATCTGGTAAATGTGTGAAAATGAGGAAAATTGGGTGATAAATGACTTTTTGTAAAAAAAATGAAAATAGAAGAAGTCGAAAAAAGAAAAATAACAGAATTGAAAAAAATAACTTTAAACACGGGTAGCTATGACTGTTTATAAACTGAGTTCTTACAAATACAATCATTATGAAATTGTTGCGAGATCCCTTTCATTATATGATTTTGTAGTGATTTTTAGCTGATACTGCCAGATTAATGATCTGAGCACGCATCTTCTTATGGAATAAATTGAATTTTAAACCAAACTTTGTTAATTATGAACAGTTTGCTGTTCTTTTTCTATCTCTAGAGCGGAATAAATTTTTTTGTGTTTAAGAACGTTATTTTATTTGGTACAGCGTTTTACACGCACTAAAAAACATGTGCTTATTGGTCATTGAATAAAATTGGCATTGGTATCACGGTTACCACGATTATAATTATGCTTAATAATATTCTTATATATTTTACGCATAAATATGTCCAATAATGCAAGAAATCATATTTCGTTCTAGATCGATTTCGAAATTAAATATAAATGTGCTCGTTGAACATGTATCATGAACTTCTTACCCGTCTTATCCATCTTTTTAGACCAGGTACTTTCAATTAACTTTGGACTCAAGCCATTTCAGCTGCAATCACAACCAAGGGTTTTTAAAAGAGATCTGAAGTTAAGAACAGCTCCCCGCTTACTCTCGGGTCCTCGCCCACCGGCGGTCACACAGCTGCAGCAAAGAAGAAAACTAGTATCACGTTTGCATGCCGTGCCTGCAGAAACACATCCCAAAAATGCTGTTCGTGGAGGAATTGTGATACCTGATATTCAAACCATATTGGACGTGATTATAAGGGGATGCGATGACTTGGACAAAGGAATTGCTGACATTGTTAATACGTCACTCATCACCATTTCTAACACCGTTGGTGCCACAACAGAAAAAGAGAAAAGTGTAATTGCGCCCGTGATTGATGCTGGCAACAAGGACATCGAAACAGGTCTTACAACGATACTTAGTGATGCATCAGCTGATATGGACGCAATAGTGAACGAAATAACACAGAAAGAGATATCATCAACAACCGATGTATTGCAGCAAAAGAATACAACACTTACGAAAGCGATAAGCGACTTGATCACAACTCTTAATAATAACATTGTTAAACTGACGGACACATCCGGTACGAGCCAGGCAGATGCTCTCAAGGCGCTAATACAATCTGAAAATCAGTCGCTATACGATCAAATACAAACTATATTAAGCGATCCAAATAATAACGACCCTATAATTCCACAGCTAAAGTTCCCGGATCCAGTAGCAATGGCAGGCAGCATTGAACCAGGAATGCAGCAGTTATACAGTGATATCAAGGCACTCTTCGACAAATTTATTACAGATATCAAATCACTGATCACTGATGTGCAGGCGTACGAAACAGGAGGAACTACGACAATAATGGACGAGGGTACAAAGGAACTTATTTCCAGATTAGAAGGAGCAGTAGGAAACGTACTTGTTCTGGTTCAGGCTCTTTTAGACAAGGTTTCTGCCAAGGAAACATCAGACATCACAACTGCGCTATCTGAACTGCACACGCAGATGACAACCGATATTACGGACGAGGTGCAGTCTATCGCCACAAAGAGTGCTGAACTGATCACGAACGTGACAACGAACGAGCTGGTAGAGATGTCCACCGTGATTGCAAAATATAACCAAGATATTGCGCAGGGGATCCTAACCAATCTCTCTACGTAACGTAAAATAAATGGAGTACCAAGTACTTTCTTATGGTATTGGGTCAAGTCGTCCCTCAAAGATAATCTTAAGAGCACCTCTGGCCCCAACTCATTAGATATCGTTAACTAGGCCACATATCGGCAATATGATGTATTTAAATACCTGGCTGTAGACCAACATTAGAACAAATCTGTGATGGTTTTTACGCTTGGGGCAAATAATTTATTTAGCATTCACAGAAAAAGATAATAATTTTAGCGTTGTCATGTATTTGCTATTGAAGCCTAAAAATACCTTTTCTACACCAGAAACACTCTGATTCCATTCTATCTATAACAATTTCAAGTCATTTTTTCTTATTTTATCGAATACATCACAAATTTCATCTGAATCACTTTCTTTTGCATTACTTTCTCTCACCTCATCCATTTCTAGTTCGTCAGCAATGCAATACACCTTAGCTGATATGCCCATTATTACATAAGTAAATCCTATGAAGTGCCCTAACGGTACATTACTGCTGGTGAGCACGTATAAATCACGAGATACGTTTTTTATTGCGTTCATTGATTCTCTCCCCTTTATCTTTTTAAACAGCTCTTTCATCTTTCTATATATGAGCGTTCTTCTATGCTGGTTTTTACTCTTGTAAAGCAGCTGTTTGATAAGTTTGTATTCGTTTTCTAATTCTATATGCGGATTTGGCATGTGGAGGGTAAAACATTTTGTTACACGTAACGGTGCATGGTTGCACTCAAAGAGCAATGATCTGTTTGTATGTGGTGGGAAAGTGGAGGTACCACTCTACCATTCACTTACCATGCGCATCGCTCTCTTCATCTCCACTATGAATAACTTATCTTCCTACATGCAAGCAATAATTTATTATCTCTTGCAACACTGTCAATAAACTAAATTCATTCATAGCTCAGTACAAAAATGCTAATAAATTAAATTTGTATTAATTCACCTCTCTTCATCCGCTGCACATTACCCTTTAGTTCATGCCGCTAAAAGTAATTTATCTTCCCCTAAGCACCACCTAAATAAACAACTTTTCTGTTATCAAGTTTAGCACTCCTGAACCGTTCAATAATATTTGACCGTTTAATTCTTCGGCATTGTTCTTGTTTAGGGGTGTATAATTAAAGGGTACCTGTGCCGTGAACTAAAGTGGTAAACAAAGCACTTTTGGTAAAAAGTACGTTTAGCTCAATTTTTGATGAAAAAGTGCAAAAAATGCGAATTGGTGGTTATGCGCATTAAATGAGGTATGTTTACAGCTAAGCGTATCTCTTAGTAGCCTAGGTACTGCAAACAAAGTGTACCATGGAATGGGTTGTTTGCTGACAGGCAATCAAGCTTGTGCTACCATACCGGGTGTACTTGATGGGTGTGATGCGCGTGTGACATGAAATACGTTTCTAGTAGAAAAGTATCGGGCAAGGAACCGCTCCACACCCGCCAAAAAAAGACAAAACCTCAACCACACCTTACAATTATCCTGATCAACACGCAATTTACGATTCGTGATTTATCACCATAAAAAAGCGGGCCGTACCGTGCCCATAAAAAACAAATGATAAAACCAACAAACGTATCGCACACAAAACCAGTACAATCGCACCCGCTGGCCGAGGACACACGTTTTAAAAAGACGTTCGAGCTTATCGCACGCAACGGATACACACAGTACTCTGAAGTTTCCCGCAATGGCAACTGCTTTTACACATCGATAATCGTGAGCCTGCTTTACGGTGATGATATTACCGTGAAGAATGATTTTAAGGCTTTGATAGTGAAGGGCGGTGTTGAGGAGTACGTGTTTGAGGATTTTTATGATGATTTTATGGGGTTTATGAGGGAGAGGAAGATTATTAGGGAGAGTGGAGGGTTGGTGGATGAGAATGGAGGGAGTGGTGATGAGAGATGTGCGGATGAGAGATGTGGTGATGGGAGATGTGCGGATGAGAGATGTGCGGATGAGAGATGTGCGGATGAGAGATGTGCGGATGAGAGTGGAAATGATGAGAGGAAAGGAAAATGTGGAGATAATGATGGGAAGAAAGGAAAATATGGAGATAATGATGAGAGGAAAGGAAAATATGGAGATAATGATGAGAGGAAAGGAAAATATGGAGATAATGATGGGAAGAAAGGAATTGATGGGAAAAGCACCGAGAAGTGTGAAAATGGTGGCAAAGGTGATCGCATGGGATGTGCGAGTGATGAACGAAGTAGTAAGAAACAGAACATGGCGGGTGAAAATATAAATGCGAGGAGAGCGGATGAGAAAAGAATGAATGACAGGAACATGACAAACAAATCGAATGGCGGTGTTGTTGAGCAGAAAGCGGAACAGATGAGCAGTGCAACAAACAAGCAGCATATAAATGACATGGTCATGGAGCAGCACGATGCAACCACGAGTGACAGTCTGATCGGTGTGAACCTGCAAATCAATTCGTGCAACGGTGCATCTACCACGGCCCTTCTAAGCGATTGGAGCGCAAGCACAAGGTCGGTAAACACGGACACGAACTCACCGCAAGCAGAGGCACGCGATGATGAATCAAAGGACCAAAGGGATCAGTTCTACCAGTGCTCAAGTGCAGATTACTTTATTGATGAGTCCGTAGAAATACGTGATAAGGACAGCATGTTTGAGATGATAGACCTTAACTCGCTTACGATGTTTCTGAAGCTGCTGATCTCAACGGAGATGAAGCTGAATGAGGATCTGTATGCACCGTTTCTGGCAAAGCCTGTGGGTGCATACGTATCAGAATCGGTGGAGCCTTTCTACAAGGATACTGAATATGTTGATATAATGGCATTCAGCCGCATGCTTGGCATAAAAGTTCTTGTGTACACGATAGAAGGGCAGTGCAATGAAATTGGGGATGGAAGTGTTGAGCTGGGGATCCTCCACACGTTTGACCACTTTGAGCCGCTTCTGAAATAAAGACATACTTCAAAAGTAAACATCTGTTGGCCATAGCTGAGTTCAGAGTAAGTACCGTGGAAGCAAACATTTGTGAGTCGTGTACTAACGGGTGACTTGCAACGCTGCTGTAGCGTGGTTACCCTTCGTATGATTCATTTATCGTAAAAATTGGTTTAATTGATGGTTCGCTCCACAATCACACGCTCCAATCTTCTTGGTGTTTCAGCCCTGGTTCACGGTTTGCTACCGAATTGTAGCGTAAACATGGCACCGCTAACAAATATCTGTGCTGTAAATCATATCTCTGGTCAGGCTTGGCAGCGGTAACTACGCTCATAGTTTCTTAACCGAACACCGTAAAATATGACCGCTAGGAAACGTCGTGACACGCGTTGGTCTGATAATGTTGCTTGTCACGGTGTGAAACTGCTGTGTTCACCTCTTTTACGTACTGCTCATTGTGATGAAAGCTGCTGAAGGAGAATTTTTGGTTTTGGAATGGCGGGCTAATGAACATTTGCAGTGCCTGTGTACGAAGCGCATTCTGCAGATTAAACTTAAAAAATACGAGCGGTTGCAATTTTTGGCACCGTTGTTAAAATCAGATCAGTACCGCCCTTCATTTGCAAAACGCTCCGCAAATGCCCGATTTGTTAATTATTTGTTTACCTTTTCATACAACAGCACTCCCAGAATGGCTACATTAAATCTCCTACAACAGCGGTAAACTCAAATTTTGAAGGAACGACTTAGTTTTGTAGCGCTCTGTCAATCACAAGGCCATGAAAGCGTGTTCGTTCGGGCTGTGTCAAATCAAATCGTTGCCAATGATGAGCGTTTTTTCGTTGGTAAAAACTAAAACGCTTAGCAGTGCAATATATCAAATAAATGGGGGTACCCCTGTTACCGCTACCATGCTATTGGACACAAAAACCAAGGAAGTCTCCGTATGGCTTGCCAAGCTGCCGCCATTCCTCTCAAAAAAGCTGTTGTCGTTCAACAGCGACACAGAAATCGGATACCTGAACATAAGCACGGCAACGAGCGATGCGCCTGCACAGGTATCGATCGGCATAACACTCTCAGATGTACCTCTGAACTTTACCATCAGGTTCAACGAAATCAGCCAGCCTATGTACGTGCTGAAAGGCAATGACAGGATTGAGGGCAAGGTGGTGAAGGAAGTGTTCGTGAATCCGGTGTTTGACAACGCATACCTAGAGTTCAAGAAAATGGAGGAGGTGTCGGCTGCTGCACAGCCATCAACACAGATCATTGATTACATGAAGGAGGGTCGGAAGACTGACCGGTTTGGCACCGTGTCAGAACTGGAGAGCCTGGCACGAAGACGAAAGAAACAGCTGCAGTCGCAGAAACGGGAGAGACTTGAGAGAAATGAAGTTATGGATATGGTGTTTAAGGCGTTTGAAAAGTTTGATAGCTGGACAGCAAAGGATCTCGCAGACTTTTCGGGACAGCCCGTTGCCTACATACAGGAGATATTGGGTGAGATAGCGGTGCTCAATAAGAAAGATCACAGGAACAGCTATTCTTTGAAGCCGGAGTATAAGGAGGCCTCAGATGAGGATGCATGAGACAGAAGTAGGTAAGGCTGGGTGGTGTTTGGAACGATGCGGCACGGTAAGGGTATATGTAAATTTACATCGGTGAATTGTCAGTAAAGTTTTTGTACCGAGCTATTACATCGTGTGTGCTGTCGTATCGGCAACGGCAGATTGCAAGAAACCGTAAAATTACGAGTCCTTGAATGCCACGGCTCTGTTCAGCTACACGCATATTTGATTATGTAGGATCTATGGCAGTAATAAACTATTTTTTGCACTGAGAAAGCTTTATTTAAAAGGCTATGGACATAACTGATAAAGTTACCTGCACCACCCACATTTACATCAGATAGATTCGTGGTTCTAATCAAACCTGTGGAGCGTAACTCCGTGCATGGCACGTTTAATAGACGAGATTTGCGGTGTAAGGCTTTGTTACAAGTATTTTCATGGGCTGGATCAGACGTACAGCTCCTTAAACTTGCGGCAACATCCATGGCGTGCTGACAATATTTTTGTACTAAAACTCGTGTGTTTACTGCCATCTCACACAGCAACATCATCGCTACAAAGTCATTTTAGATCGATGAACTGATGAAAAATACGATTTGATTCATTTCTTGGTATTTCATGGCTCAGTACGTACTTACTCGCTAAAAGATTGTTTTAGCACCTGAATCGGTACAAATTATGAAGTGCACAAATCTGTGCTGCACAGGAATAATGCTAGGTATGCATTGTACCGGTCCAGTGTTTCATAAAAACGAGAATTTAATAAAATTTCACAGCTCCTCGTGGACATACCCCCTTTGCTCGTATTCTTCGTACCTCTTCTCATTTTCTATTTCTTCAGAATCATCCAAGTATTGGTGTTTGCTACCGAAAGATGGATCAATAGATCGAGGAATGACTCGTTCGAGTCTTGTTTTGTTCGGTATCTCTTCAAAGACGTCCCTTTGCCGCACTCTATCGGATCTACGCTTCGCGATGCCCAAAAGTCTTGAGAACCGATAAATAAGATTTTTGAACACATGAACGTATTTTGCCCGTTTTTTTTTCGGCATCGTTGTTCTTTTTGTGATGTATTGGTCAGGTGGCACGCTTTCTGGTTTCCTCTCCTCATGCGATATCTCTGTATCCATTTTACTGTCGATCTCATCCACAGCTCTACCCTCTCTCGCTGCCTCTAGCGACTCTTTCAGCCTGTGCCGCTGTTTTATAAGCTCGTAACAGGTCGTTTCAGTTATATCACCGAGTCCCTCATGCCATTTCTTGATCCCTTCATAGAGATGCTCAACGGCTCTATACAGTTTAGGCTCCTCGTTCTTCAGCATCTCAATCTCTCGAAGCTGTTCGAGCAGACCTGCATGCGCCGCTTTAAGGCTTCTTGTATCATATTTGTACGCAATTTGCTCATAATTCTTAGCAAAATCACGGTACTCATCGAATGTCAGATTCGGATCACTCCTTGAAATCTTTTCTTTCAACTCCTCGTATTCTTTGACCAATGGATGATCCGATTGTATCTTTTCGCTACTATTTGCAAGTTTCTTTGCTGTTTCATACACTTTGATCTCATACATTATCTTCTCATATTCCTCTGTGTTTACCCCAGGAATGCTATTCACCTCATAAACCCTATCATCCTTTACTTTTGATGGATGGTAGTGGTTGCCTCCCGAGCCGTAGCGAGACAAGAAATGTCTGGTTTTTACCTTTAGCACCGAAAAATACTCTTTAACAAAGCTGAGCTCCATTGCCATGCCATGGCATATCACATCGATATGCTTTAGCAGATTTTTGGGCGCTATCTTTCTATCGTTCATAATTTCCAACATTTTATTTACAAGGTTGTCTTCAAACGATGACATCGTTGTGTTGTTTTTATCACGGTAACGGTTGAGCTTACGATGCAGATCATTGAGATCGAATTCCTGAAAGGTTAGCACCGCAATCGAGGCACCGTTCGAGTTGTGAATAAGAACTTCTGTTCTTGTGTAGCTTTTTGCTCCTGTTTGTATTGGCTGCAGCATATCCATTAGGATGTCTTCGGCATAAAAATAATAATCCGGTCTTTTTCTATCGTAGTCGAAGGGATAGTAGCCCATCTCGACCGGCTCTAGGTTCCTATCTTTAGTCCTGAACTTGTTGTAGGCATCTTCCACGGTCTTTCGTATGAACTCGTATATCATGTTTGTGATCGTGATATCCGATATTATCTCTGTTTCGTGGGCAAACGCAAATTTGATTGTATATCCTTCGTTCCAATTTAATATTTCGTCTTCCTTTGATTTGCTGTCAGCCTTTCTCTCGTTTTTGCCGGCAATCTTCGAGTTTTGGTCATTTTCTTTTCCTGCTTTCCGGCCCTTCTTGCCCTTATTGGTCGTATAAAACGAAAAAACGCTCCTTTTCCCGCTGGTGTCGATCACCAACAGGTACCTCTTTTTGATCCTCTTTTTCACCAACTCATCGAGCGCTAGAACGAGAGTCTTGGGCAGAATGTATTGCAGCTTCAAGTTCACGTTGGTGAACGCTTGAACGGCACTCTGTGCTATTTCCTTGATATCGAGATCATCAACGACCAAAAAAATGTGGCAGCCCTCAGGTAGGTTAAGCGCATCCAAAATAATGGAAAAGATGGTAACACTATCTATCGGTGTGTGAAATGGTCGTATTCGCAGGTTGTCATCCATCAACCGCAATATATGGTTCTTATTTGTAAGTTGCTCGCTACTTTTGCCGAGAACTCTCCAAAAATCGTTAACTGTTAAATGGTGCTCAGGCCGAAGAACGAATTGTTTTAGCCGTACGCCCAGGCCTACGTTCCGTTCGATCTCGTAACCGCGATATATCTTATTATTTGTTTGTTTTGCCGGGTGCACGTAGAGTTTGTTGAGATACACCAGCGTTCGCAGCTCCAATGCCGCTACAAGTGATATAATTGATATTAATACGTTCATATCAGTGGGGTCAAATTTTTTGCGATATAACGGCCATACGTGTTATGTACTCAAAGATTTGGGAGCTGTTAGCGGATACGAGTGAGTAAAGGATCACGATGTATAATTGAGAGAAGGTTGTTTCTGAGGCGTACAGCACGAATATATTGTTAGATCCCTTAGATTATTGATCAACCATGGTACACTGGCATTGAAGGCTTGTTGAATAAAAGATGGATATATTGGCAATGAAAGACGTGTTGGCATGCAAAAATCTTTATTTGGTGTTGATAGCAGGAAGTAACGTGCTGTGTTTAAGCTGAACAATAACGCATCCTGGGTTATCTTCTTATTTATGGGAAGCTATCTAAAAATGAGTTGTAGTTAATTCAGATAATTAAATGTACCAAATATTTCCGGTTTCGGATGAATACTTGGCTGCACCTCGGCATACAACGGTTTATAATGTAAAGCTGTTCCATATTTACTACATGATGAGAACTAAAAATGTTTAAAAGAATTGAAAATTGCAGCTATGCCTACCTGATAGGACAATTGTTGAATGGAAGCAAAATTAATTCTTCCGTAATTGGCTTTCCAAGGGTATGATGTAATATTTACTATGAGCGAATGCTACGTGGTGGATGTAAAGTACCTTCCAAGCACGTGGACCGTACAATTGATGAGTGAGTAAAATAAAAATTAGACTTAACAGTAACACACATCGCATATTTAGAGTTGATATAGAGTAAATGAACAAATTGAAAGAATTGTTAAAGAAGTATTTGATCAAAATGAAATTGTGACGGTACCTGTGCACAAATTACTTACAATTTTAGAATATAAATTACTGTTTTGTACCAAAACAGAAATACACCGTGTGGTAATTAAAAAATGATTAGGTCTAAAATAAAAAATATGTGTATTAGTGTAATGTGTTGAACTTATTGATTTGATTTATATCATGAACAACATAATTACTCATATTTAACTGAGTTTAAAACGTATTAAAACGGTTATTGCGTTCCCTGGGATTGAGGCTATCAGGTATGGTTACTTAGTATGTATGATTGCGGACAAAAGCCTTTTCAGTGAGCGCATTCTTCACGTATTCTACCAATAAAACATATTAGCACCATCACAGTGCGCTATTAAAGACAGGTGCTGCAATGGTTCGGCCTATCTATGACAGTAAATAAGTTTGCTTCTCTATGACTAAACATGTTTTAGTACAAAATATTCGTTCTGACAATTACGGTTTGGTTGTAAGCCATGGATCAGAAGCACGTAATACGTGATATGCACGTGACCGTTGTCATTTGCTGAGCATTAGATGCCCGGATATCAAAGGTGCAATCTCTTCCGTTACAAAACATTCCTCATTTAGATATGTCTTTTACTGCGAAAAGACCTTTCAGAGCTAAGAACACGCTACTTCAATTCCACCGCTGTGATTAATCTACATTTGTAAAAAAATGATTGGCCGATTTTCGAACATATTCAAAAAAATTGAGCCCCACCAAAATGAACGTATTTCTGTTGATGTTTCCGCTTGCAATGGCGGTGGAACTGCGAACACTTGTTTACCAGGACAAGCTTCGTATATATCCTGCCAAAAAGATAGGCGACAAGATATTGCCCAGCTTTGAAGAGCAGCGCAATGTCGGTCTCAGCATGAGGCGTAAAAAATTTGTCTTAAAGGCTGAGAGCCACCTAACGATTAACCATTTTTGGAAGCTGCTCGGTCGGAAGGATGCTGAACTGGCCAAAGGGAGCCATGCACTGCGGATGGACGATAGCAGGTTGTATATGTCGCTTTTTAAATCCCCAGTTGATAATGTTACGTTGTTTTCTGTTATTTTGGCTTCGCTCAAAATGCCTGAAAACTGCCACGTCAATTTGGTTGTGGACGATAACGAAGTCAAGAAAATAGCAAAGGACGCAGTGCAGGCATTCGTCAATGTCGGTCTGAAATTGAAGCACATTCTTCCCAAAACCCTCGTCTTGGCATTGGATGGCTATGTCAAGGGCATTATTACAAAGAGGTACGTGTTGACGATCAGCACAGGTGGAGAGAAGGGCGTGTTTTGCTTCTACGCGACTGACATTGTGGGGGGAGATCAGAAAGCGAAGCCGACGAGCGACGCGTCTAAAGGTGAGGACAAGAAGCAGGGAGCAGAAGCAGAGAGCAAGTCTGAGGTGCAGAAAAAGAAGGATGTGAACGGTGGGGATGCTCTCAAATTGGTGTTTGTCCATGAGACAGAGCTAATATCGGATGTTGCTATCAAAAAGATTATGTACGAATTCATACGGGGCTTCGTTGAAAAGGCTTACAACAAGTTCAGAACTGAGAAAAGGAGCCTTGAACCTGTAGAAGTCGGCTATTACCCGTTCGATGATGGCGAGAAGAGGCCGGAATATTACTTTCTCGTGGAAGAGATCGCTGAGGAAATGATACATGTGGTGCAAAAGCGTGCACCGACCTATGTTAGAATAGAAATCCTCATCTATAACTCGTCTGGTAAGCAGCTTGGTGTGCTGACAAGCCAGGAGTTCCATCTTGAAGAATTATACAGGAAATTGGACGAGTATTGTGATAGGCACCGCGATGCAGTGGTGGCATTTGAGGAGAATCTTGTGAACAGCATGCTGGGGGCCATAGACGATAAAAGCGTAACGGCTGGTGATCTGTTGAAACACGTTGACGTGGTGTGCAACGGCATTTCTATGCAGCTTAATCTTGTGAAGCAGTTCTTCAAAACGCTAGAAATCAAGAATAGAGAATTTGTGACGTATTACGGGACAAGTGGCAATTACTACGAACAGTACAAGATAAGGGATGATCGAGTTTACAGAGCAACAAGTGTGCCCGTCAGCACCAAGATGTACAAGGATATCATGCACGAGGTAGAATTGTACGAAAGGTCAAGTAGTATTTTGGGCAAGCACAGCAAGATTTTGTATGACCATCCCATTGTGAACACGTACAAAGATCTGAGAAGCAGGATAGAACAGGATGTCAGCGATCTTACACTCGATCAGTACAACGATTTCGTGGACAACTACGTACGTGTGGGCAAAGACTACGATCCGAAAGAGCTTGAGATGGCGCATGCTGCGCTTCGCAACCAGTTTAAAGAGGTTGAGGCACTGAAGAAGAAGGAGCCTGAGATTCACAAGGCCGTAGAGTCAACCTACAAGAAAGTGAAGGACTGGTATAAAGAACATGGAAAGACGATTCAGGTCACGTACCGTGATATTGTGAATCAGAAGTCTGAGCTGATGCACTTGATCTCAGCGTTGAGAAGAGACAAAGCAACAAGAGAAATGAACGAAGCGAAGGAAAAAGAGAGGCTTGAAGCAGAGAAGAAAGCTGCCAAAGCGGCACTCACCAGGGAGAAGGCGAAGAAGGCTGCTGCTTTTGTTGAGGAAACAGGGTTGGACCAAATCACAAAAAATGTTTTGCTTGCTGGAGTGAATGGCATTGATTTTTTCAAAGACTTGGTTGGAATGACAAGTAAAGATAAGCACGAGTATGATGTACAGCAAAGGGATGCATTCGGCGAAATGTCCCGCAGAACAAAATACGTGCAGGACATTCCGCATCTTGTAAAGCTCTCATCTGATGGCGGAGACAACGCCGTTTCCTCGTGGGAAGAGGTAAATTTTGATGCGAGAAAGGGAATGGAGAAGCTCATGGGGCTCTTGAAGGATGCTGGTCCGCTTATCGATAATAGCAACGACAGCATTCTTGACTATGAAAAGGTATTGAGGGGCATGCAAGAAAAGCTGGCGAGCTTGGGCGTTGCCAATTTTGGTGACAGGAAGGGAAGGGATAAGAAGCAGAGGAGTATTTCTCATGAAGAGCTGTAGTGTCCGTTTTTAATTAAACCAAATTAACTTTAAATGTGGCGATTTTTGGTTGATGTGCCTGCTCGTTGCTTTGTTGTCTGCGATGCTAGCTCTTAAGTCAAGGTATTGGTAATAAACCGGGGAACACTGCTGCCAGGAAGCGTATGTTTATGTTTGCATCTTATGACCTGAAGAGGTACATGACCGCATACGGTACCATCTAGGAACGTGTGCTTGGTTATGTGTAGTGGTATGTGCTGGACGACAAAAAAATTATTTTTGGTAAAAAGGTGCTTCTCGTGGGTGTTACGAGAAATTTTGTTATTTCCAAATTTGCGTACTGTGAAACCTCTGAACCAGAGATTGACGTTAGATTTAATGTACCACAGATAGCAGCGGTTGAAAGAAGAAAACAGAGCAATGAATGATAGCGTAATATTCATGGACAGATGAGCCTATCATTGAATGTATCTCTACCCGTCATATGTACTCCCAGTTTTTCCGTTTTAGCTGAGCACTTTTGTGAAAATACAATGCCTGATACACACTCCGTACTGCTATTCGGTTATTCTGTAAGAGGATAGAACTAACCTTCCCTCTTGCAGGGTTTGCTGATGGATAAAGGTACGTTTTCTACATGTAACCCAGTTACCAAGCTCATAGCGCTGATATATGATTCAATCACTCGCGCAGGAAAGACGTACCATGCACGTTGTCATGCGATTGTCACAGAAACAAAAATAACATGCAATGCACGTTTTTCCTGCGCAAGTGGTTAAACGGCCTTGCCACACGACTTTTAGTTCCATAAGCTGAACATCAAATTTTTTTATCCAAATTCAAAAAATTATACCCCAAGAATTTTCTCCTGGCACAATCGTTTAAATCTTTTGGCTTTTACTCAAGATTTCCGTGTGCTGGATACGAGGCAAGTTCTTGCTAATTTTTGGAGTGCGGTGCTCTCACCGCATATGATTTAAATTTTTATTGTTTGCAGACTTTACAGTCATTCTCAGCTTTTTCATCATCAGAGGCGTGTTATTTACGGGTTATTCTCGACGTGGTTGCATGCTAACCATGTTCTAAGGCCCGTTTCCAGGATATACTCCGGAGTAGCGGATAAAAGTGACTGACTGCACGTATACTGACATATCAGCACCTATATAATGAGAGAAGCACAGTTTTGTATCGTACGCTCAAGTCTTTCGTTTTTATTTTTCTTACGATTTTATTTGTTTACCAGAGACAGGTCCCGCCCAAGATTCTGCTTTGTTGTCAGCGAATTTGTTGATATAAAACTGCGGCATGTAGAGCGCCTTACCTGGTACATTCCATACAGCAGTTCGCTCACATAGCTCAATTCGTTATTTAATGGTAATTGCAGTTCATTGTGAGAGATCGCACCAGCACATTTGTTTTCAAACGCTATGATCAGTACATCCGTTACGTTTTTGTCTGTAGCACAGCTCCTTGTCTCAACTACGTGCATTTTACTTTTTCCTAAAACTTCTTAATTCCCGAATTTACAAACCCTTTGAATGAACGGCAAAACCGTGATAAAACGAATTATTAAGGTGTGTGAGGAATACGGCGTAAAGGTGAGTGTGATCAGCACGGCCACGGTGTTTTTCAGAAAAATAGAAAAGAATTACAAAGACACAGAAAATATGGAGAACGATATGCAGCCTGATGATCACGGTTCAAAAGCGAGAGAAAAGCTGGACATTTTCTCTGATGAGTTTCTTGTTGGGCTTATCGCGGTTGCCTGTAAATCGAATGATATTGTTATGCCATCACGGATCAGAAAAGGGTACATGCCCGAGAAGATAGCCATGATGGAGTCAACGATACCAACACTGTTCGGCTTCAAAATGCACATTCCCTGCCCGTTCACACGCATGCTGGGACTTATCATTTGTCTGTGTGAGCACAAGATTGTTGAGCTCAACGTGAGCAGTATGTTCGAAAAGGGCGCAGGCAACATCAAAAGAATACTGCTGGACGATAATTACATGGATTATAGCGTAAATGAAGTTGCAGCAGCAGCTCTTCCTATTGACTGTAAATATCTGAGTAAGCTGATGGTTGGAGAGTTGAGCTGTGAAAACATAGAAAAGATCAGAAAAAATAATAATGTAACCGTAGATTGTCAATAAAGTAGTATTTATATGTTAAACGGATTTGTTGCTATGAGCAACCGCCACTGGAAGGTTTGTACGTAACATGTTGTAAAAATAAATTTGCCTGTTAAAACTACGAACACCAAAACTTCAACGATAAACCAGCCATCCTCCCACTGCACGGTCAGTTTAACACGCCGTAAATTGGGAAATGGTTTTGTGCTCATGAATACGAATGAATCACCATTGAGACTGAGTACAACGAACACTGTGCTAGAGCTAACGCTGTTGCACTGTATAACGCGATCCTTGGTTGGTTTCTTGCTGTGGTCCTACAGCTAATCCCTAGAACACAAGAAGCAAGATAATCTGAACCGACAGCCTGTGGTCATGATCAGTTTTAGCGGACCTGAAAGGCATGTTGTTTAGGTGTTGCTGTGTGAGAGGATAAGTAAACGTACTTCTGGTAAGAGAAGAACTGAAAAGGTTTTGGTATAATAATTTATTGTATTTCACTACGCTTCTCATAGTTTATCGTGTTTTTAACACTTTAGTTCTGCTTATTCCTTGTAGTCATCGGAACGAGTGCACGATTCCTCGGTAAATTGTTTAGTTCCTCATCTTTTTCTATCGTAGGAGGATAAAACACGTTGCTCACACAGCCCATGTTTCAAGCATAATGCAAATCTTGTGGATGAGATCTGTTAGTAATCCATCAACTCAAGAAGTGCAGTATTGCTAGATAAAGCCATCAGGTGCAACAAAATCAATAAATTATTCATCACCGTTTGAATTAAAATATTTTCACTTTTGGCTGTGTGATGGATATTTTATGGTATTTTCATGTTTGCCAGGGGTAGATGTGGCAGCAGAATGGTGCAAATGTTCGATGTTCTGCGTTGTAAAAGTTTTGTAAAGGAAATGTTAGCGTGTGATGGTTTGCTCGCCTTTACCCCTCTTATGGTACGATTCTCCTGAAATGGTAAATGTTTTGGAAAAGTATCTTAAAATATCAGCGTAGACAGGACTGAAGCATACCAAGGTGATGCTGTTTGGTTGTATGCAGGCGAGTTTTTAATAAAGGACTATATTGGTGGAAGAACGGTGCTTATATCGGCAACACTGCCAAACTGGCACACCAATGCACACTTCAAAGCCGAACGCAGGGGTAAGCCCGGCAAATATCAGAAACAGTAATTATGAGCGCTCAGGTCGAAACAGGGAGACCGTTTTCCTCATCCTGATTGCGCGGCAATTTGCAAAAATTTGCTTTTTGGCCGAATTGCGAGAAAGCCGTTCGTGTGAAGCAGCATTGATCTGGAATGCAAATGTCAAGACTGTGAGAGCCTGCACTTGCAGTTCTGCTCTGGTAGATAGTGTTACACACCAGATGCCCGGTTTTACCGCAGCAAAGCATCAAAACACGCACTCAACCAAAAATGAGCAAGCTAACGTGCAAAAATTTTAATTGTCACGTCATCGCATTGGTCAAGCAACCAACCATCCTACTTCCCACCACCTTCCTTAATCTCACCCAAGAATATGAGCGACACGATCAGAGCAAACAGCCCAACGAACTCAACGAACACAAACACGAGATAAAACTGCCCTGAGAACTTTTTCTCTTTCACCTTGGTAACAAGAACGTGCTTAGCCATAGATCCAATCGTGTACGCCGTAAAGTAGCACCCCCACCCGGTTATCACGCAGCACGAAAGCTTGACGAGCGCATCCTTGAACGTTGCTATTTCCTTGTTCTTAAAGACGAAGAAGATGATGAGCATGTATATGACGGGCGTGGTCAGGAAGCATAGGGCTGCCATTACCGATGTAAATTCTATTTTTATTTCGGCAGCGCTCGAAATACCAGGCGCCGAATCTTTTAGACCACGTCCTGCACCGGCCAGCGCGGGCACAACCAGGAATATGTACGAAACAGCTGATATTATGTCCCTAAGATTGTCGATTTCGAAGATTGGAAAACTTTGATCTGCCATTTTTTCTTACAAGCCCCCTTTTTTCTTGTTTTATAAATAAATGTGAAACAACAATGATAAGAGTGATAGACGGCGCGAATAAAGGAAGAGCACTGCAGCACGCCATAGTGAACAGCTTGTTAACGAATGAGAAGTGTTGGTCCGTCTTGTCTTGTTGCAGGCGGTGCACGGCTTGCTCATTAACAATCGTTTATTTATCACCGAGCACACATCACCAAAACAAAGCCATCTTCTGGTCGGAACGTGTGCAGCAGTCCATTTTTCCTTTAATACTCGTTGAGTGTCAGGCCCTTTAATTACATTTCTTGATACGGAAAGAAACACGTGCATTACACTACCTCGATTGCTGCGTTCTACGGATACATGCACGTGGTGAAATAAATCCTCTACCGCTCGTATTATTCCCTATCTCAAAAATTTGCACTCCAGCAATTCCATCGTTCTTACCCTTAGGGGAATGGAAGCGAGCAAGCAAATAAAAATTTGTGGTGGCCAAGCACTTTTGTTACATTATTATATTTTTAATGTGTGAGGAGAAAATAAACGTATTTTTAGCACAAAGCAATTATCATCCTTCTATAACGATAGATTTTGCACCGTTCTACACGAATTTTAATTTTGCGATTTTCACCGAAATCGTATTTTTATGGCGCAATTTTGTGCTGAAATGTCCGTAATATTCAGCAGATTGGTGCTGCGCGCTTGTTGGAGTGATAAATAAGTACAGCACTGATAAAAAAACAAACCTTTTCTTTACCGTCTGTACGTACCGTAGAACAGCGCTGTCTGTGTCAATATTTTATGAGTACAGGCATTCAAAAAGCGTGTTCATTCACCACACGTGTATTGGATAGCGTGTCTGCTGTGCAAAGTATCCGCTCCACTTCAAGGATGCATACGTACGGTTCAAAAAGGGAAGAAGCGCTCAGAACTGAGGTAGGTAAAATATATTTAATATACTTCAGCACCACAATTACATATTTAGCGCTTAGCATTTGTTGCAGGCAGCACAATCAATAGATAATACTCTGCTACCTCATGTAAATCATCGTAGGATCAAAATATTTGATGATTCGTTTGTTGCATGCACCAAAGGTACGTTTTTAAAATGCGATAGAACGTTCAACACAGGGTGCAGGAATAGAAGGGCATCATTAACACACACGGTACGGATCATGGCAGCATATTAACGAGGTGTGGTGCAGGAATAGAAGGGCATCATCAACACACACGGTACGGATCATGGCAGCATATTAACGAGGTGTGGTGCAGCAAACATGGTAATAAAGATTGATCTTCTGCCACATTCAAATATTTATAATGGAACATCCTTAGCGCACAAAAATGGATAAAGTACGGTCACACTCCTGCAGAAGCAAAGATATTGCTGTGATGCAATAGAAGTGCACTAATGTACCAGAAATTGATGGCTGCTCTTACCTCCGCGTAGATACCATAAGATAGCTCATCACCGATCTATGTTTACGAACGATGTGATCTATTTTAAATTGTAAAGGTTTTAACCGTAACAAATCGGAGGCAGATAATATTTACTGTGGAGAGCAATGCTTGAAATAAACTTTTTTTAATGAAAGAAACGACTCAACAAACATGAACAGGTCTATCATTAACTGCTAAAATGCTGCTCTTACCCCAAAAATAAATCATCTTCTCAAGCAATTAATGATAGACCTGTTCATCATTGCTTGATCGTAACACAGACCTACCACAGGGAGCAAAGACATGCATTTTCTCACGCTCAGTTCACCCTAGTGCGAGAATTGCATCTTAAACCTACTAATCCTATTCATACCTAAACTGATCTTAATCTCGTTTCGCTTGCTCTGCTCCGGCACAACAACCACACTCTTATCATAGACCACAACTGTTCCCCTCTCTTTGTACTCGCTCTTATCGTTTTGCTTAAAAATTCGCAAATACTTTTTATTGCCCAACACCGTTCCGCTCGGCAAGTACAGATACGGCTCATCATCAAAATCATCGCTATAATAAATTACATTCTGTTCATCTGTTTCGGCACCGTCTTGTGCCGGTACCTGCTTGTTCCTATTGCAATCGTTGACATGCTGATTAAACCGGCCCAGCTTGATGAATTGCTTGCTGCAGTTACCGCATGTATACAGCTCTTCTTCAATTACTTCCTCCTTTGTTATTGTACTTGTTGGCAACAGGCCGTTGTTCTTCCGTTTCAGATTGTAAATGTGGTATTCCGATGCGTAATGCTGTTTGAAATCGTCTTCTAGCAAGATTTGACAGACTGTGCATTTCATTGGTGGGGTGTGTAATTTAATCTGTTAAATTTTTACGATTTCTCCTGCTATGAAAAAAATTTGTTCTGCTAAATGCACTACCCGATGCAAACATTAAGTAGAATTATCTTCTCAAGCAACAACACTTTTATTCACCATGACAGCATGAAATAAAACTGCCTCAAGCACATTCAATGTTTCATTTACTTTTAGCACGTTAAATTACCTTTAAGTAACTCTTACAGGTTTACTTTATGAGCTGTTACCAGCTAATCCATTCTAATGGTGGTCAATTCGTAAACCAACTATTATTTCGTTTTTTACGTTCTTGATCGTGTGTAGGAGGCGTAAAAGAGCAAAAGTACGTGAGTGTCTCGTTTAATGTCTATGAACATCTTAATGTGAAACACATTGTTGGAATAAATAAAAGCGACACGCTTTATCGCTAATTGTTTCGTTCCTCGTGCATGTTCATCGACCTATCGCATAGGAAATTGTTATTTCTCTGTGGTTGATGTGTGAGGAGGTGTATTAAATGAGTTTTGCTGAAAAAATGAACAAAGATCTAAAAAGTGCTGCGCTTGCAAAGCTCTACAGGAATAGATAAGATAATGAGGGCGTACGATGTATCAAAAGGTAGTAAATAACGAAACAAGCGTACCATAAAAATACTGAACAAGCTGATGCAGCTCAGCTACATATTAAGGTTACGAGCGCATCTTCTTGCAACCAGAACATCATCAAACTAACAAAAATTTAGTTACAATTGTACTATGAGCTATCTACTGCTGTTCTATATGCTTATATGTACTATTTAGACAGTTCTCTATTTTTAACTTCAGCATATCTATCTTATTGGGCTGTATAAACACAGCATTGTCCTTTATCTCCTCAATGACAACATTGTCAGTCTCATTTATGAACATTATTATTTCCTTTATGGACATCTCAGTTTTGATGTATGTTCCTTTCGTGGCCCTAACCATGGGGGTGGAACAATGAAAAATGAAGAGGGTTGTGTCCATTGATTGCTGTGTGTAGGATGGGGAATGAGCGACTTGCAGAGAAAGAAATGGAGGGCTGTTTTATCATCCTGTATTGTAGGCAAACCGCTGATTACAAACGTAGTTATAAGAGCAATTCCGGATTGCCTGTCATAAAAACAGTTTTATCAAAGGCATTTCCATAAGAACGCTAATTACGAATAAATACAATTTTTGAGAGTGTGTTTGATAAATCGCACCAAAATATTATTTTTTACAAAGTACGCTTGTCTATCCCCGCTCACGTGGTAATAACAGTTATCGGCCATAGCTCACCTTTGTGCTGGGCTTGTAACTCAGCAAAATTAATTTGCAGACCAACCACAGAATTTATTGAACGTTTTTTATCCCCTCAATGTCAAGCACAAGAAAAAAAGTAATTACAGCCGCACTGCCCTACGTGAACAATTCACCGCATCTGGGCAACATAATAGGATGCGTGCTCTCAGCAGATGTTTACGCACGGTTTTGCAGAAAAAGCGGCGAGAAGGTGGTGTTCGTGAGCGGAACTGATGATTATGGCACCGCCACCGAGATACGTGCACGAAAGGACAACACGACCTGTGAGGAGGTGGTTAAGTGCAACAGGCAGATAATGACCGATGTGTTCGACTGGTTCTGCATTGAGTTCGATTATTTTGGACAGACGAGCAATGCCGTGCACTCGAAAGTGGTGCAGGACGTTTTTCATAAGATTGGCGATAGAATTGAGGAGGACGTAATGCAGCAGTACTACTGCAGCAGATGTGAGATGTTTCTGGCCGATCGATACTTGACGGGTACGTGCAGCAAGTGCAAGTGTTACGGTGTGCAAGGCGACCAGTGCGATGCGTGTGGTATTTTGCTCAAAACAGAGGATATTATCGATCCAGAGTGTGCTATTTGTGGGGAAAGACCGCAGCTCAGAGATACAAGGCATTTGTTCATAAAATTGAATGAGTTAGCGGGTGATCTCAGGCTGAAGTACGAGAAAAACTCGCCTGGATGGTCAAAGAATGCACGTGAAATTGCATTGCAGTGGCTCGAGAAAGACTTGCACAAGCGGTGCATCACTCGGGACCTCAAATGGGGTGTTCCTGTACCAGGAATGAACAAGGTGTTCTACGTGTGGTTTGATGCCGTGATAGGGTACCTCTCGTTCTTTAAGATACACGTTGAAAGATCTGAAAACAAAGAGTTTGAGAGCCTGAAAGAGCTGGAAGACGAGTTTCGATCGTATGAGCTGGTGCAGTTCATGGGAAAGGACAATGCACCGTTCCACACGATTATACTGCCGGCCATTCTTGATTTGGTGGCCAACAAGATGAGTGTCACCGAGTATCTCATGTTTGAGAACAAGAAGTTCAGTAAGAGCAAACAGATCGGTATTTTTGGGTCAGATTTGTTGCACAATGAGTACGGCGTGTGCGATCTGTGGCGATACTATCTCGTGAAGATCAGGCCTGAAAGCAAGGATTCAAACTTTTCGCTCACAGATTTTTTGAACAGCATTGCTGACCTGCAAAACAATTTTGGAAATTTGTGTAACCGCGTTTTGAAGTTTATAAAGAACGGGATGGACGGAAGGGTGCACTTCAAGGGCGTGCTGAACAGCAGTACAAGACAAGAGTTTGTGAAGAAAATTAACGATTTGTTGTCGGAGTACAAGGATGTGATGTGCCATATTAAAATGAAGAAGGGACTGACCGTGCTCTCGGAGATGTGCATGGTGTGCAATAATTTTCTGCAGAAGGCCTTTGATCACAAAGTTGAGAAAGAAGCGAAGAACGACTCGTTTGCGCTTGTGTTTTCTGTGATTGCGCTGCTTGCCGACCTGTTTGAGCCGTTTATACCGAATATATGTGCAGATTTGCACCAAATGTGCGCAATTGAGCCGAGAACGATTGGTGATGAGCTGCAGATACTTGACGAGCACAGCATCGGTGAGAATGTGCGGCCACTCTTTGTGCCCCTGAGTGAAGAGATCCTTGAAAATCTCAAAAACAAAATTAAGTGAATGGCAAGGAGACGTTCTATGGATGGAATTAAACGGTTTAGTTATTTTTGTCTGTAGGATTGTACCTGATTCGCAGGTATTTACCGTGTGGCAGGTCAAAGACGCAAAAATCATTGCAGTGCGTGTACTCACTCACTTTTCGTTTATCCTCGCAACACGGTCAACTTTGAAAAATTCATAGCCAAAATTTAATTATCGCGTTCTGCACTCATCCCAGCCATTTTTTTCACAGAATTAAGCTCCTCCTCGCTGACCCGCTCGTTGATGCCCATCTGCACATATTTCAGAAACCTCATTAAGTGCACATCCTCAACATAAGCGCTGGTCAAAACATTTCTATCGCTGCATAGCAGCAATTTCCTGAAAATTTCCCTGTTCCTGTGCAGCAGATGTTTCTTAAAATTAGCATCGTTGTTTGCGTTATACTCCGCAATTTCTCTCTTCCTTTTTGACAATTTGTCCACATCCACGCATCCTATAAGATTAGCGATTTGTTCCTGAATGTATCCGTTCGACATGTTTTTGTACTTGTGCACATAACTGTCTGGATCATAAAAGCGATAGTCCTCAAAGCTGCTGTTATACGCCATTTGGCCCGCTAAATGCCCAGGCCGTAACTCTACACGATGTATCTGCGCATCATCCTCCTTCCTTCTAAACGATATTCTGCTCAGCGAGTCCATTGCACATAAATTTACGTCCCTCTCTTTCTCATATTTACACTGCGAGAGCGTATTGTACGCCTTTCTGTACGAGCGAAGGAAATAATAAATCTGTGACAGCAGAACGTTTACCCGCTCTGAGCTCTCCATTCGCTTGAGAACCGAGAGACTCTTCTTGTACTTCCTTAACTTGTATAGTGCGTACGCCTTTTCGTACCTCGTGTCCTCATTTGTACCCATTCCGATCTGCATCTTGCTCATCCTGTCCCCCATCTCGTCTTGCGGTGTTGCCTGCCGCTTTTCCATCTTTTTAATCAAAATCAGCGCTTCACGGTACTTTTCAAGGTGTATCAGGCACGTAACTTTGAATCTATCGTACTGGTCGCCCTCCAATTCCAAAATCTTTTGGTATTCTTTATTTTCTACCAGGTGTTTGAGGTCTGACATGGCAAAGGGCTCAGTTTATTTTTTTACAAATTGCTTTCTGTATGCTGAGTTGAGAATGAATGATTTATTCGTGGTATAGGCGTATTATATCACTAAAGGAATGGTACAGTTCAGCTCATCATCACATGATGTAAAATATTTATGATAGTTCGCGGTACAAGGCTGTTCTTGATGTTGTTTTCAACAACTGAAAAACTCTTATACCGTATTTTCATCTCAATTTGAATGCATTTCTGTTTCATTTCGTTCTTTTTCTCAGTAAATTAGGTGAAATACTGCCAGCGAACCGCGTAGGACGACACCGCAGCCTTGTGGTGATCGGTAATTCTGTGCGTACCCCACACGTGTTTATTAATCGGAATAACGGTCAAATTAAAGAATAAACAGCAGCTACTTTGGTATGAAAAATGCGTGAGAATGTCATCACTTCTTGCATATGAACGCTTTACCGATGTTTAATTATTATTTTGTCAGCTACTCATACAAAGGATTGTTGCATACAAGGAGTGGCTTTGTTTCAACATTCGGTCGCAATGTAAATGACGGTACCGACCGGTACAAGAACCGCAAAAAAGGCTTAACAGGCCGGAATAAGTGCTAACGTACAAAACATCATAGTTAGCAGGTGTTAGACGGAGTGCGTGCTGTTACAATTCGATGTGCTTTCATGAAAAAAATGGTACAAGGGAGACGAGCAAGTTTATTTACCGCGGTGTTTACACCTCATTACGTCGACTAGGCCCACCATACCAAAAAGATGGTTTGCCCAGTAGAATATACGTGTTGCTCATCGTGAGCTTTATATGCGTACGAGTGCATCCCGTCATAAATCTGCACTTTAATAGACACTTTCTTGAACTTCTACCAAAAGATCTAAAAAAAGTGGAAATAGCTGGCAAAACTTGACATATTAAGGTAAAGAAGCACAATTTCATAGATAATAAAATTTTGTTGTGTCATACAAACGCAAATAGCGCATCTAATTAGCAGAACACCTGCCGCATGAAGTAAATGAGGTAAAAAAAGAAATATCAATAGTATTGGCAATTTACTGCACTTTTGGAAGAAATATGGAATATTGGCTTTGTTCATTTCGTTCCACACTTTCTCAACGTCTAGCTGAATTAGCTCTACCAGTGCTGTGGCCAACCAACATGTTTATAATATTGAGTGTGTCTATTTACCTTTTAAATGTACGAAGCAGCCTCCCCTTCCACCACATATGCAAAACTTCGCCAATTTGGACTGTGACACCGTAGCAAAGGTATGTAGAAATACAAACGAAGGTGCATGCAAAAGATTTAATGATTTTGATACAAAAGTGATCAAAAGGAAATGGTCACATGAGCTCATCAGACACATTATCACGGAAAAAACACGTTTTTACGAACGGGTTAAGGAGTGCATGTCGTGTAGGAAGAAGGATAAGAGTCTATGTGAAAAGGGAGGAGAGTCTGGCTTGCATTATTCGTACGTGCTGACCATATTTGGTTTGATATTGCTGGTGATCGGTGTAGTTTTTGTGATTAGTCTTTATTTCGTTAACAGCAGAAAAACTGAACGCACGAAAGTGTTGGGAAAGCGGGGTGATGATGTTGAGAGAGGAGGAGGTAACAAAAGGAGAGCAAAGAAGAAAGGGCTGTGTAGGCGATTGGGGCTACTTTGAGGTTACTAACGTGTCAATGGATATGACGCGAGGAACATGGCGCATCGCTGGTGGAGGAATGGTAGTAAATAAAGGAACTATTGTGTTTACGAATGTAAGTTATCGGTGTACAATGAACAAATTTTACTGGCTATTCATGTGTTGGTGGCGTAGTACGTTTAATCATCTTTGATTGTTGCAGCTCAGACACGATTTATAACCGTGCAATTATCGTTGTTGTGTAGAATGGTGTTAAACAATGGATTACACACCGTTAATGATTCATAGCCTGTAAATACTACGCTTGAACCAGAGCAGACATCTCAAACATGTTCGTTTCTCGGGCAAGTAATAAAAGGTGGAGAAGATACTGCCAGAAGATCAGATTAGTATACTATCTAGATGTGGTGTTATGAGAGGATAAAAAACGTACTTTAAAGCAAAAAACAGCACTTGGCTTGGTTATAATGCAGAGTTTAACGTTCACGGTTGTTGAATGACTCTTCACATTAACTGCAATGAACCATCTCTGCTCAAAAATTAGCAACATTTTGTACGGTCCATGATATAGCAGAATATAGTTTATTACTAGGTACAAACGAATACGTTGCGGGCATGCAAAGGTAGCAAGCATCGTCTCACTCTCTTGACCATCCATCTGAAAACTTAGATTAGAGTGTTCGTACAACGAAGTGATACGTGCGATCAGAATACGACATAATTTGGGCACTCCATGGCCGGATATCGGCACTAACAGAGAACATATCGGCAACGTACAGCACGCGTAAGCAGAACAGCAGATTTAATTAATTTGCGGTAAATACGATCACCTTTTCAGCAGTAAAACTAAAATTTGAAATATCCCCACCACAATACTTACGAATATAAGGCCTACCATCATTTTCTCAAGGTTTTCGCTATTTCTGGTATTGATGTTCTCAGACAGAATTTCGAGCACGCCGTGTATGACATCGCACCGCAAATTGAGGATGTCTGCACGAGCCTTAATCTCCAGACATCTTCTCAGCGACTCGTACAGCTCTGAATACCTGGGAAAGTGCCAAAGCACCTCCGGCTCATCCAAAATATTGGTGACCAGATTGAGATCGATGCGCAGCTTGTGCAGCCGCCCTACCATCTTCAATATTTCCTTCCTGTTCCTGCCCACTCTCCCCCAGTTCTCCACCTCTTCCGGCAAATCCTTAACGCTCTCGATCGTCTTGTCCGTCAGATTCTCGAAGTAGTCTAATTTCACGCTCTGTGCGATGGCATTACTTATAATCATTTTATGAAAGTAATCCTCTGTGTTAAGATAGATTACATCATTGCAGAACATACTCTGTGTGTCTATAATACCGTACTGGAAATTTTCTACTTCAATTTTCGACGTGTCGTACGAGTTGTACTCTGATATTTTGATGATTTTAAGAATTTTCGTCTCCACGTTCTCCGAAACACCCCAGAACACCGTGACCCCGTAATCAAAGAAGAATACATCAACCGACCCTTTCTCAATCGCCACACTTGTGTACAAACACTCGCCAAAATAGATCACACTCTGCTGGAACATCGGATTGTTGCGTAGAAATGAGCTTAAATGCTTGAGGTTGATCTTTTCTGCCGTGCAATACGCCGTTACACGCTTTAGCACGGTGTTTTGTGGTATGCTCTCCGTGTTTTCGTTCGGTTTAACTGTTTTGAGGTAGAAAGCATCACGTAGTGCACGCAGCTCTATACGTGCCTGCTTCTTGTCCGTGAAAGTGGTTGCATCCGAGTTTATTTTTATCGATTGGATCGAATTATCTCTTGCGGATCTGTTGTTCATTGCTTTTTTGCAGGGACCCGTGAAAATTATTGGATTTAGGGGAGTAAAGGGGAAGAAAAATTGAGAATGAAAGTTAAAGAGAGATGGGCGAATTGAGCTCTAGCAGACCAGAAAAGTGTGTTGTTAGATGTGGTTGTACGGGAAGATAAATAAGGGATTTTGGCGATAAATTGGACAAATTGAGCAGAATAAATGCTGTTATAACGGTGAAAATGAGCTAAAAACATTTCTAAAGGGTATAAGAAGAATAGCAACTTAGATATAATGAAAGTGCCTACGAGAATCATAAGATGTAAGATTTATTTGCCATGAGAATTTACTATTTAACTAGGGTATAACATGTGATATAAAGACCGTGCTTCAAGAAGCAAAAAATACCGAAAAATATATGAAATTATTACGAATGGTAACGAGCATGGTATAAGTAAAAACTAAGCCACATAATACGTAATTTATACAAATGCCTGTCTTAGTGAACAAATTCCCTTTTTATGCTTTTTTCGATGGTATTTGGAGACAAATAAACGTAGTTTTAGTAAAGAAATGCTAATTTGACATATTTTCATGCGTTTACAGCTAAAAGTATAAATAGAAGAATGGAATGCATGAATGAAGAGCGAGCTTCTTAAAGTTGAGAATCAATTGGTTAAAATATTTTTGATCAATGAAATGATAGCAACAAAGTCACTCGATAGTACAGGACGTAAGCTAAAACGGTAATATTAGGTTGTTGAACGTGTATTTTGACTCTAAAAGCTGTCATCAAATTTACACGAACACATTCAGCCTATAATACGAAAATACCACAGGAATTACGATCAAACATCGAAAGAAGTTTTAAAACGCATGAAAGACATCATTTGTTATTCATACCGCTTGTTTACAACGCCAATGCTCGCGGCTCCGCACAACAGTCGGTCCGTTTTTCAGTTATTTTTGCGTGCATACTTCAACATTTAATTACGTGTTCCTGTTCAACGTTCTATTTGTAGTTGATATAGTTCAACAATGTATTTCTTATCCGCACGCTGGCTTTCTTATCAACCACCTTGCTTTTTTTCTTGAAATAATTGAAATCGGCCCCATCCAAGAACGGTAGGCTATCTAAGATGACTTTCATTTCTTTGATTTTGTCATTCTCTACCAGGTATACTTCCAGATTCTCGAAAAAGAGTGTTAAGGCTTCCTCGTCCTGTCTGAAGACCTTTTCATAAACGTTCAGCCTTCCGCGATCATTTATCAAAGTGTTAAAGGACGCTTTAATTATTCTGTGCTTTAACGGAAGGTGGCTCATGTAGAACGATGAAAAATTCTCGTTGAGACTTTGCAACACGTCATGCTCAAGCGAAAGGGCATCTTCATCTTTTTGAACGGATTTATCTTCATCATGCACCCCCTCATTCCTATCATCATACTCTCCATAGCACTTGTACTCCGCCACCTCAGGATTTTTCCTCACGTAGTTCATTATCCTATGATTGCTCTCTACCACTCTTCTACATCCGCACGCATAGCAACACAGAGACACTTCATCGCCCTCTACTCCCATTTCAGTCTCCGGATTATCACATTCCTTACATTGAACCAACAACCCAATAAATTCATAAACTATGTCCTGTATCTCCGATGCTGCGTAATCTCCCTTTAGCATGAACATGCTGTCCTTTGCCATGCTGTTCACCGATAACTCGTACAGTATAAATTGCTGTAGTAGCACCTCTTTCCTTTTGAGAGCATTACTTATTTGCCCGATGTTTACGAGTACAGTTTTAACATTCTTTGATTTTCCCTGCTGTTTTGTTATGAGCTGAGGCATTTTGTACCTGTAAAACGGATCGTGTGTATTCCTATTGATAGGGATCAGCATTTTAAAGGGAAAGGAAATTTTAATGTTAAAAAGGAGAGTCAATGATGTGGAGGAAGGAAAGGCAAATTGATAAGAAAGTAGAAATAGAACAGGAACAAGTACTTAATTCACATATAATAGGTAAGTTAGGAATATGTTATCAACATACCTAGATTAGTAATTTCAAGAAGGTGTATCCATGAAACAATATTTATAAGACAAGTAACTAATTCATAGATAGATAGTTGGTTGTAAGAAATTGATTTATAGACATCAGTTATCAAATTTGTAGCAACGGCAGGCAGACAGTGTGCAGAGAGCAAAACGATAAAACAAATAGTGAAGATACAGCATCGAAGGGAAGAAAAATGAAGTAAAAAGCTATAGCTGAGCTGACAAGTAAAGATAAAATAGAAAAAACTGTCATCAACGAGTATTTGCCTGAATATAGGTTATATTACAGAAGCATTGCATTTAATCTATTTTTAATTAGGTAGTACTACCGATTATGAGAAAAAAACGTTGCAACACTAAGAAAGTATCACGATCTGCGAGAGGCGATAACGTAGTAGAACATGTTTTGTACAAAATATGCAATAATATGATAACTTCATATCACAGAGTAATATTTATGAAGAATTTACGTTGATAATTTTGCACGTAAATTATTGCGTATCACGTGATGAACAGGAGTGATCACAATTATGTCGTTGTTCAAAAACGTAATTTTAGACTACCACATGTGTTATATTCAGCTGTGATACTTTTCACCGATAATGTTAATCCTTTGGATTATAATCGGTTGTTTATCATGGCAGTTGTATCTATCGTTCTTATTTCTATCAAGCGAGCTATTACCACTGAATACTTTGATCTATTAAGCGTTTATAAGAGCGTACTCTGGACATCTTTACCGTATGTTC